CTTATATTGATTCATCCACCTTCAGTACCCTACTCCTGTGCCACTGTCAGCAGTATTGGGAGGTGTTATGACCCCTGAGTTCTCATTAGTAGGAAAACAGGTGAATAGGTTATTCCATTGCCTTCCTGAATGTTTAAACTTCATCTTAACTTTTTCTTTTGACTGGTCCTTCTGCTTGCCTTAGCTAAAGATGGAAATGCAATATGAGCATGGAGGCCTTCAGTAGTTTAAAGAAATAACAAAAGAAACATGCTGTTTTCTTGAAAAACAAATTTAGTTTCCTTGACACCACGTTTCTTTTTTGAAGCGTTACCATTTTGCATAAGTGAGCTAAAACAATGTTCTTCTTTTACTAGGCAAGAATCCAGGTTTGTTCTCTCTCCTGTCATTTCCTCAAAATTCATTTCTTTGCAACATTATCTCCTTATTTCTATTTTTTTGTTTGTTTGTTTGTTTTTTGTGTTAGAATAACCAGAATAGGCTGGGGCATCAATTGGGAAAGAACTTTAAAGAAATGTAAAAACTGACTGTCTTTAGGGATATTTAAGCTTTATCCTAAATGTTTATGGATGTCACTGTTCACACATTCAGACTGGATCAAGGAGTGTACAGATGGGTATGCTTTTCTAGTAGACACTTAACTAAATCACTCGTAATAGTAGCACTTTCTCCTGCATTCCAAAGAAGGACATTGTTAGTGAATATTTAATAAAGTAATAGATATCGGAACATTGCTATAATTCCAGGAAAATAAACTTTTTAATTGGTTGTTACTCATATACATGATTTTTTTTTTCTCATCAGCTTTAGAACAAAGTGGGAATAATACATTATTTGAGGCAGGAACCATGATTTACACTTTGGATTTACAGTAAGGCTGTTTTATGCCCACTGGAAAACATAGTGTGTTAACAAGGTGTTTTCTGTTTGTTGACTCACTGACTTGCTATCTTTGTTATTCATACTCTGAAGCTAAACTCATCTACACAGTGGGTCTTGGTGCATTTTTCTTACTTTTATTAAACAGTGTGTCATTAGACTGACATCATTGTATGAGATCTGCTACTTCACATGGAGACAGGTATCAGCGAAAACCAAACAGACCACGCGTTAGCTGGCACCATCCCAGCACAACAGTTTGCATCTCAGTCAAAGCCGTAGAAGATAAGGCTAGATCATGTTATATAAGTTTCTGTTGAAGGTTTAGGAAAAATAAAGGACTTTTCTATGCATTTAAATTTATAGTGCTCTTTTCTCCGCAAAGCAGGTTTGTCTTTCTGGCCAACTTTTCCTGTAGATTTCTCCTTTGATTGCATGTCTTAAGCAGAGGTCTTTATCACAAGGAGTGAATTCTAAGAATGCTGTTCTCAGCAGGGCCATAATTTACATACCAGAATCATCCATCCACTCACCATGTTTCTTTTACCATCCAAATATGTGGACAAACTGTATTTTAAAAAGTGACACCAAATGTGAATTCAAGGTCCACCATTAATGATAATAGCTAGGGGAAAAGGCTTGCTCTAGAAAAAAAAAGACAAAAATACATCCGTATTTCTCTAGTTCCTAACACATTAAATAGTCTTTCCCTAATGTCCCCCAGTATCAGTTAAACTGGCCTAACTTCTCCTGAAAATTAGAACCTCTTTTCTTCTTCATCTTGACATGGTTCTCTCAGTCTTACATGTTCATGCTCATATACAGAGATCAACACTGTAGGTTTTACTGACTTTATTTTTTCAATTCTAGCCAAGTGACTTTTCCTCAAAGGTTTAGAAATTTAATTTTAGCAAAGGTTGTAAAGAAGAACTAATGTTTGTCATGTGCTTACACACACCACTCCAAATTAGGGAGGATGAGCAGGCTACTTTGACCTGTGAGTGGTTTAAATGTGCAATTAGAGACACTTATCTAAATGGATTTTTAGATAAAATAATGCTGTTGCCCAGCCACTGTTCTGTCTCTTACAGAAAGTTGTCTCTTAAAAAGGTTATAAACATCAGGGGAAAATACAATAAAAAATAGAATTGACTAATGTAACATATTTGAGTTTTCTCCTACCATTGTCTCAATAATAAGTCTTAGTGTGGTGGCTCCAAACAGGGTGAATTACATTTAAATTACACAATTTTTAACTAGAAAATTGTTCAGTTAACTCCAAAATGAATTTTTTTCCTTACACTTGAGCCACTTCCCAAATGTTCATACCAGATTTCTATCAACACCTCTATTGATTTGAGATCTTTTATTCCCAAGAGTACCACAAATTTTTAATTTCTGAAGAAAAACTAATATAAAAATCCAGAATGTGCATTCATGGTAACAAATTAAAGTACAGTTTTACAATTAAAACTTAAAATACAGTTTTTATAAAAATTAAATACGGTTTTAACATTAAAATTTGGTTTTACAAAAGGGTCATATTTCTACAGTGACAAAAGTGCTAGAGGAAGAACTGCTGTATGATGTTTTGGTATTGTGTTTTGTGACAAGTAACACTGAAACCGTTCCAACATTTTCTGTTTGTTGTATAACTGCTCAAAAAGAAAATTTCAAAAATTTTCAACTTGTATTGCCTAAATAATTTAGTCTGTATGAAATGCTATCCACTGACTCACGTTTGTAGCCTATGAATTTATTTTAAGAAAAAAAATCCTATTTATTTATATTTATATCTGTTTACCTAAGTTACAATTTAAATGCCAGTGATGAAAAATGAAAGCTTAATTCAACAAAATATTAATGTAGCTGCTATATTTTGATCCAGATACCAACATGAGCCCTTAAGTTAAAAATGATACATACATTACTTTGTTTAAAATTTAAAATGATATTATTTTAAAATATAGTGCAACACTAGAGATGTAGCTCAGGGTTAGAGCACTTGCCTGTTATGTGCAAGGCCCTGAGTTGAGTTCTCAGCACTGAAAGAGATAGATAGATGAGAGAGACAGAAAGAGGGGGGAGGGTTAAAGCATTTATTCAGGGGACCCAGCAAGGTAGAGCACACCTGTAATCCCAGCACTTGGGAGGCTGAGGCAGGAGGATCACTGTGCATTCTAGGCCAGCCTGGATTACATAGTGAGTTCAAGACCAGCCTGAACTATTTAGTGAGACTCTATTTCAAAATATACAAACAGAAATCCTGAGATAAAGCATTTATTCACATCATTCTCCCTGTATCAAGAATATACTTTGTGAATTGCTCCAATATGTTAAATTTCTTTAAGAAAAAATGAAAAATTCTCTTGTAAATTGAATCAAATAATTTAGTTTTAATTTAATTACATTTTAATTTAGCTTAATTTAAAAGAGTACCCACTTTGGCTTAGAATAAAAGTAGCTTTCCACTAGAAGTTGGCCCTAGAACAAAAAGCTAATACTATGCTCTGGGGTCTATTGGAGCAATTGCCTGATAAAACCACATAATCCAGTATCAAATCAGACTGGTTCTGCTTGAGAGGCTGAGACAAACAAGGCCGAGCACTTCCTCTTTAAGCCCCTCTGAGGAGAGGCACCCACTTCACAATTACACCACTTGCTGATGATTTTCACTGTTAACAGCTCTGCTTCCAGGAAAATAAGGGTTTTGAACTGTCTCCTTTCAAATAACAGTAGCATAATGAATGAACCCAGAAACAGTCTGAAGAGCAGGATAACGTACCCATCTCAAATTGCTATTTAAAAGCTTGTATTTTTTGGCAGCTGTAGTGAGAAACATTACCATCTGAACAAATTCCATATTCTTAAAGATCCTGTGCTTAAAATATTTCTCAGCCTAATATTTGCCATAAAATGCATCATCCCAGCTCCACTTTTTAAAATGCCACAACCTCCTTAAAACCTATTGATTTATACTTTAATCTCCAGCAATATTAGGTGCCCCTTGAAAGAAAGTGAGGCATACAATATTTCTTCTTTTTCTTTAGAGTAGCACATATATTAGTTTAATTCCATTTTCAAATGAAGACTACATCATTATTGTAGCTCTGAGCAGCATCTAAGAAATCCAAATCCCCATAGACCTTAGCAGGTGTTATGAGATATTTTTCGTCTTATATTTTGAATTGTGCTTTGCTTTAGAATGAGCCAAATCTGGTGCAAACTTTAAGAAATTCTGTGCAATAACTGTGTTAAGTTTATTGCTCCTTGTAAGTGGCAGTAAAGAATAACCTTTGGTGCTTGTCAGTGTGTTGCTTATGTGACCAACTGCTAGGATTTACACACTCTGCTTTTTATTGTAGTGATGCTTATCGTTTTTTACTATAGTGCAGTGAAGCAATTAGAATGTCACAGAGGAATGGGTCACCTCCCCCCTTCCACAGTCCAAATACCCATTTCATTCAGTGTGAAATGTTAATGATGCAAAGGACAATAGAGAAGCAATGTTGCTTCAGAACGCGAAGAAAAGAGATTTGAATGTGAAAGCTGGACAGAAGTGAAAAGTGCGTTAAGTGGAATATTTTTGCTTCCTCCTTTACGTCAAAGAGGCATCTGATACTCTATTTAATCTATGTCTCCTAGTAATGACAAGCTACATTCCAAAGATTTATCAAACACTCCTTGGTAGTGAATGTAAAAGGTTATGGCTGTTCTGCTTTTAGGAAGCTGAGCACAAGTACTACATAAAGCCTACCCATGCATACAGTGTTGCACTCCAGGGTTTTAATAAATTGCAGATCATCTGTTTCTGCCGGGTTGCTTTTAAAAACTGTGTGAGAGTGTGTGCACTTTTTGTCTGCAATTGACCGGTTGGGTGTCTTCACGTTGGAGATTACCATTTCTCTGTCTTTGTGTAAAATAAGGTGTAACTGAGTGTTCACAAAGATCCTGCCACAAGGCGCGAAAACAAATCCATGAATGTAAGCTCTGAAAATATTGAATTTGACTCCTCAACTTCTGAGAAATGACCAAGTTGTGTGTCGCTTGTCAATGAGACAAAGGAAAGACAGCCTGTTAGGAAACTTTAAATTAACCTACTGACTGTGATTCCTTTGCAGACCACAGATGACATCCTCGTGGCCTCCGCAGAGTGTCCCAGCGATGACGAGGACATTGACCCGTGTGAGCCAAGCTCAGGTGGGTTAGGTTAGTCGACTTTTTTTCTTACTTCTTTGGCTTTGCTGTAAATCACTGTTGCATGCTATATTCCTTAGCTGTGTGTTAAAGCTACCCCATTACAAAAACGTGCACGGAGAGATAACGGTCCTAGCTTTTCACATTGATAAATTTGCCACCATTTATTTTTGAAATGTTAAAAAAAATCCCACCAAGCACTGGAGGACAGCACACCCGGCTGCTCCCTCACTGTTCCCTTCCCATTAGCTCACATCATAATTTTTGTACATAACTGCATAACGGGCTTTCCCTTGGGTCACTGATATTAAAATTGTAAGGCTTAAAAGTTTGCAGTGCATTGTGCAAAATTATCTGACCTTTCTGCTAACAAAACATCTGCACCATTTCACTCTGCCAGAAAATTATCTTAAGTGGTATATTTGTGGATTTTGGAAATGAGAACATTATGGCAGTAGTAAAACAAGCAGCAGGTAGATTCTTTAGTGGATTAAATAAAGATTTGAGTTTGTCCATGTTTCCCTAAAACTCCAGCTAATGCCTCTTTCAGACGCTACATAGTTTCTCCTCTTTCTTTATGCTATGTTTGCATCTCCTCTGATGTGATTAACACATAAATAATATTTCCATATAGCCCTGTGCAATTAAGTGGAAGCTGTGGACCCTAAAACATAAATAAGTCATAATCTGGATTTAATTCTAGATGTTAGGGTGATTTCCATTAGTGTTATTTGTGAAGTAATATTTCTTAAAATTCAGTAATACTATACTGTGTTTGAACAAAATGCCTAGTAGTTATGGATTAACCACTGTTCACTAGCTCATGCACTAAAACCCAGAAGAGCTTCATGTCATAATAGAATGGCTTGTTTGCACTCTTGTAAAAATACCATTTTGAAGTAAACCTACTTACTCTGACCCTGGAATGAACAGTTTCAGGATCCATACAGTTCATCTCTTTTCGACTCTTACTTATGCCTGACTGGAGCCGTTGGCTCCAGGCACGTAGGGAGCAGCCGCTCAGTCCCCTCTCAGCAAATGCAGGTGTGGGAGATGAGATTGGACAAGCTTCCACTTTTTCCCAGGCTCCACCCCACAGCCAAGATGGAAGCATCGGTTATGTTTAGCTACTAGGTCTCCGTGATCATCCTTTCAGATGACACCTTGTTAGGATCCCTGACCAAGATTCTGCTTTTGTTTTTAGTACTTAAGTAACCAACCCCACTAATCTTTTTTTTTTTTTTTTAATTGGTACTGGGGATCGAACTCACGACCGCCTGCTTGCAAGGCAAGTGCTTATGCCGCTGAGCTAAATCCCCAGCCCCCTACCCCACTATTCTTTATACTAATCCAAAAAAGTGGAGAGGAGGGATTTTGTTTTGTCATTTTTATTACATCACTTCTATATCTACCTTGTCCTACCCACAAACTTTCTTTCCCCATATCTCCTAGGTACATGTACTCAATCTTTTTGGTGTTAATTCCCCACACCAAGACCATTTTTTTTTTTTTTTTTTTGTATCTTATCTTCTCTGAGACCCTCTCACATGGATTATTCCAATACCAGTGTCTGTTTCTATATGTATCTATGTGTATAGTTGATTTTGTTTTCTCCACTGATTTTTTTGAAGGATAGTTTTCCCAGCATTTATATGGTATTTGTGATGAAAACTGTATAGGTTCTTACTAATCACAGTTTCTGCTGATGTTCTTCAGGCAGAAGCCCTCGTTTTCTGTGTGAGTGTAAGATTCCTTTTTTATGCAGAGTGCTTACTTTAAGTACTTAGTAAATCCAGTGCGAGGACTACAATTGTACTTACAGTTGTCACATTTTCTTTCTTCTTAAGCTAAATGGCCCAATTATTCTAGGTCTCATTAACCACTCCTTGGAGACTGGTGCACTCTCTCTGTCTTTCTCTAAAGACAGTGAACCTGAGAACAAGATGGTGGAGGAAGAAGAAAAGACACAGAGGGAGAGAAAGAGAAAGAGAGAGAGAGAGACAGAGAGAAGGAGAGAGCGCTGTTTTATCTCCCTCTTCGTTTGTCTCATCTTTTAAATGTCACAGTATAGTGTAAAGTCAGCAGCAGGTTGCCAGTGACCACTCCAGATGATCTTGCTACAACTGTTTGCCATATTTATCATTATTTTTAAAAAGTTTACTTGCCAGCTACTAGTTCATTAATATATAGCTTTTTTCCTTCCCCATGAAGGAAACTCAGTGAAGTAGGAGCCCTATTTATCCTGCTCCTGTTTATTTTGCTCTCTGATTCTTCTGTAAGCTTAAATTCTTTCTGATTGCCCCAGAGCATAGGGGAAACACAGGAAACGCACACCTACCAACCCAGACTCATGACATCTGCTCTGCTACTCTCACACCAAGCCTAGTTTGAAACTTTTCCTCCTTTAGGGTTTCCTCCCTTACTCCTCAGCTTTCAGGTCCTCAGTAGCTACTTAAACAAGCACTTCAACTTCACCATAAGGGTGTTGCACCTTTATGTCCACTGGTCTTGACAGTGTCTGCACGAGTGGATTCTCTTCCATGTTGCGTTGTGTAAGTGATGTCTCTGTCTACACTGGCTTTTTCTGCCCAATTATCTATAGTTTTCCCTTTTCCATGGTCTTCTTCAGTGCTGCAGGCAGTATCATTCTCTGACAGAACTGGTTCCATGTATTTGCAGTTTCCTATAACATTCTTAGTTTACATGATTTTCCAACTTTTACTTGGGATTTTTTTTTATCATGTTTGAATCTGGAATATGGTTTCACTATAGGATGCCCCTCTTGGAAGTCCTTGCTAATGAACATATTAGTTTTCTGAAATCCCTTTCTTTTTGCTATTTTCTTGAAGCATATGCAATATGAATGTCATCAACAATTTTAATCGCTGATACGATTAGACTTTGGGTACTGATAGATAATCTTGTGAATTATTTCTAATATCAACAAATTTTGGGAAATTGATGATTTAGAAAAGTAACCTTGAGGTAAATATTCAGAAATGCATATACCTACTATTCACAGAATTATTCCTTTAGCAAGTGAAAGCAGAGCTTTATGAAACGATGAACAATTGTTTCTATAAACTCATTGCCCAAATATTATAGGTGTTTTATCCTCCCCACCTACTTACACATGAATGCTTTCTAATCATTTACACTCTTCATCTCCTTCAGAAAATGCTTTTTGCTCTGCAAATGTACCACATTCATTATTTAGGTGCCTTCCCAAGGCTATCAGGGAACAAACAAGAAAAAAATCTGGCATCATCTTGACCACTAGTAAATTAAAGCTATTGTCAAGTGTTTGATAAATTTGAATTACCATGTGGTTTCACCCAGAATTCTTAATAAAGACATAAATGGTGTCCTTAGTGGTCAGCTTTATCATTGAATCAAGTGATATTAAGTCCCAATAGACATTCACTGAAATTCTGAACCCTGGGAGAAAAAAAGTTTATAGCTGGAGTTCCTTTCTAACTAGGTAGATAGTCTTTGTTCTACTCTGGATGCAATAGTTTTGTTTGGTTTTGGTTTGGTTCTGACTTTTTGTTTGTTTGTTTTGTTATTTTCAAGTTCTTCACCTTTGACTTTAAAATATCACATGTTTTTCAGAGGTGTTTGAAGAATTAAAATTAATATAGTTAAAGGACTTTTTGCAATGCCAGGCATAAAGTGGAGCATTGATAGCTGATTTTTCCCCCAATTCAGTTACTTAAAAATAATATTCAAGCTATATTCTCCCCTGTATATAATGCTGTAATTCTCCTGACTGAAAGTTGGTGGGCAGCTGGTGAGACCTCTCAGGCCCCCTGATGGGAATGTGCCTGCTGAAACCAGATCAGGGACAACTTACTGGGGCAACATTGGGTGATGGCTTCCCTTTCAACCAGTGTGTTATAATATGAAAGAGTGGTTGCACAAGTCAAGAGGGCTCAACAACCCCATTTCTTGTCAACAGGTAGAAATCTGAAGCAGTTACTGGTCCCTATACCAGAGACCACCAATGTCATAAAGTGCCTAGTTTAGATTGAACATGTGCCAGATAAATGAGCTTTTCTTCACAGTTTCTCTCAAAAACAAAACAAACAACAATAGCAGCAACACACACAATTTCTCCTTCTGTGCTTCTCATTCAGCCAAGAGATGTGGTTTCTTGAATTAATTAATACATGGGAAACATGTTGGAGAACAGTACCTTGTTCATAATGTCTTATATGAATGAGTGTTTCCTGTTGTTACTCTTTGTATTATATAATATACACAGTTTTCAAGATTCCTTTTTTCACATGAGCATGTCTTTGTAAAATAGATGTCTTTGAAAACTTCAACTTTATATTCATTTATTAAATTGACAAAATAGCAATACAACAAAGCAATTAAGTTTTCACAAACCTTTTGATCGTATCAGTACATCTTAGTTTGCCTGCTTTTCAAACGGAACTCTTTCCAAACCCCTAAACAAGTTTAGAAAGGTTGATTTTTATGTTGATATTTCAGGGCATCCTTAAGAGAAAATAGTGACTGTCTGGTGTGGGAGCTTCCTGATGAATGACTCCAATTTATCACTTGTTACACAAAAGAACATGTCCGACTTTTATATTTCCTGGATGCTATTTAGGAAGAACAATTTCCTGTTAGATTTACCTTGCAGTTTGCTTTATATTTTGTTGTTGGGAGTACTGATAGGATACTGGACCACTTTCAAATAGACTAAACTTTTCTCAAACTAGGAGAAGAAAAGCCCTATTGAATAATAAGATACAAGAAAAGAGAAGGTCATCCATTTTGTGGCACACGTTAGCTGAGCTAACAGAGACAAGAGGATCATAGCCGCTCAAAGAACAAATGTGGATAACATGTCAGTTTGATAAGGGTTCAGATTATGTGGGTTATGATAGCATAATAATCATATTTAATGAGGATTCAGTGGTGCTCATCATTGCTCTTGGTCTTTCATAAATGTTGTCTATTTCACAACACTGTTTTGAAGCTAAGGCGATTCGGAGAGAATG